GTGTGTGTGTGTGTGTGTGTGTGTGTGTGTATGTGTGTGTGTGTGTGTGTGTGTGCGTGTGTGTGTGTGCCACCACACAAAACGTGCATTTTCCACGTACTTTAGTCCTGGTAGAGACTTCTACGACAAGACTTATCAACTTTATCTGCCTCTGTCTCCATAACCTGTATACACCGCGATCTGTGTCTTTGTGTCAACGAACAAGATTAGGCTAGGAAGGAAGGAGAGGGCGATACGCACACGAAACAACACCCACCCACCGACCCACCGAGACGACACACGAAACGACACCCACCCACCGAGACGACACAAGCGAGTGACGAGAAGGTTCAGCGATGGTTGTTGAGAAGTAGGGTTACAGTTGGTGATGTTTGTGTTGTTGCTTATGCTGTTATTGTTGCTGTTGCTATAATTGACGTAGTTGTTCCAGTTGACGCTATCGTTATTGCAGTTGTTGCAGCTGTTGTAGTTTGTGTTGTTCTTTCGATTTTGTCTCCGACTGTCACATTGCACCAGAAAACGGCGATGAAATAAAGCTATCGTGTTCCTGACAAGAAGAAGAAACAACAACAACAACAACAACAACAACAACAACAACAACAACAACAGCAACAACAACACTGTGCAGCGAGGAGCCCCAAGATTTGGAGCACTGGCTGCAGATATGCCCCGCCACGGAGGTCCGACGGTGGCATCTTTTCGGGGAGGATTCAGGGAGGTTGGACTGCCTCACCTTCGACTAGTTCTACCCAAGAGAGGCGGTGGCCCTGGCGAAGAGCACGCTTTTCGTAGCTCCAAACATTTCGAACGGAAAGGCTACCACACACCACAACAAAGACCACAATAGGACTCCCACAAACCACCCACAGTGTTTCAAATTCAATGAACAGACGTTCTCGCTTCCCACTGTCTGTTTTGTCTCGGTGTTGATCCCGTTTCGGTGGTCGCCGTGTCGTTTCGTGTACCGGTATAAAAAACTAGACTTTCGTACACCGGTATAATAACATATTAAACAATCCCGCTTCCCACCTTAAGCAATCTAAACGAAGGGCGGTTCTTATCACAGCTATTTTCCCTGGGTATATTTTACTGAAGGTCAAACTGCCTGCACTTATCGCGACCTCTTTGGCGACTATCGCATTCGGTAAAATATTTGGTGTGCACCGTTAGTCGCTACTTTTTTTTTCTTTTTTTTTTTTTTTGGTGATATGAGCTGTGTGTCTCTTTGTCTTCCGTGTGTGTTGCATTCTTCATGATACGTTTATCACAGATTGTGTGTATACGTTATCATTAAGAGAGTTGCAAGAGATGCCACGGAAATCATCGTTATCATCATCATCATCATCATCATCATCATCAACAACAACAAAAATTACAATAGTTTAAAGTAGAATTACATAATTGAGACTTGGACATAACATAATAATACACGCTAAAGAATTGCATAGATTTTTGTTTTTTTTAAAGAATTAATGGTTCGCTGTTTTGGGTTCTTTACGAACATTGCTGGCACAGTGCGGTCTTTACAGCATGGCCGTTCTCGTCATCTTCGTCATCATTAATTAACAACAAAATTATAGTTATCGTTATCATCAGCAACAGCAGCAGCAGCAAGAGCAACACCACTACCATCATTATGGTAAACGATACTTGTCGGAACTTTTGGAGCTAACGGCCTCGGCTATGAAGTTTGTGTTTTAGTCCAGGGAGAGAGAGAGCGAGAGAGAGAGAGAGAGAGAGAGAGAGA